CTGGCTAATCTTTGATGCATATTATTTTTGGATTCAGGACAAAGTTACATGGAAATCTTGTTTAAAGGCCACTGCAATAATGGACTTTACCATATCCCTTCAATTGCTGCTATTCCTTCTTCATCAATACCAACAACATCTTCGGCTATTTCTTGTCTTAGGAAAACTACTACCTCTACCCTATGGCATAGCCGGTTAGGTCATCCTTCAAACTCAATTGTATCTCTTATATTGAATAAGTCTAAAATACCTGTTGTTAAAGATGTATCCCCTGTAGTATGTCAGAGTTGTCTAGAAGGCAAATTTGCCAAACTTTCCTTTAGTCCAGCTGTTAATAAGTCAGTAACCCTTTTTGAGATTATTCACAGTGATTTGTGGGGACCTACACCATGTATTTCCGTTGATGGCTTTAGATACTATGTCATCTTTGTAGAGGAATGTACCAGATTTTGCTGGATGTTTCGATTGCTTAATAAATTAGGTATTTCTTCTGTCTTTGCATCATTTTACCAATTTGTTCTTACTCAGTTCTCAACTAGAATTAAAATCTTGCAAAGTGATGGAGGGGGAGAATACATAGGCAAACCCTTGCAAATTTTTTTTACTGCAAATGACATTTTACATCAAAAATCATGCCCATATACACCTGAACAGAATAGTTTAGCTGAGAGAAAACATAAACATCTTGTGGAAACTGCCATTACATTGCTTCAAAATGCCAACTTACCTTCTAAGTTTTGGACCTATGTATGTCAAACTACCATTTACCTAATAAATAGGATGCCATCTTCTATCATTCAAAACAAATCACCTTTTGAAAGTTTGTATTGCAAAATTCCTGATATTCAGCACCTTAGAGTGTTTGGATCTGCTCGTTTCCCATTGTTAAAGCCTTATAATACCACCAAACTACAACCTAAGATTTTGAAGTGTGTATTTTTGGGGTATGCATCTAACTATAAGGGATACATATGTTACGAGTTAAATAATAACAATGTCTTTATATCCAGACATATGATATTTGATGAATTAGACTTTCCATATGCCTCGTTTTGCACTAAGTCTCAGCCTAAGTCCAGTATTCCTACACTTAGCCTTTCTTTGATTCCTAACCTTCAGAACATTTTGGTATCTCCTAATACTATAAATTCTCCCACACATGTTTCATCCTCAACATCACCACCACAAACCTTACATGATTCACCCATATCCAGTACCTCACAGTCCATTATTGCACCAAATTCTTTTATGACTGTGTAATCTGATTTTTGTCCTGAAAGTTTACAAGTGGTTCTCAGTTTACCACCTATGAGCATTCATCCTATGCAAACCAAATCCAAGAATGGTATCTTTAAGAAGAAATTTTTGTGTGCTTCAGTTCATAATGATCAAGTGGCTAATTTTAACGCAGATTGAGCCTTCATCTTATAAGTCTGCTATGAAGATTCCAATATGGTTTGAAGCTATGAAGGAAGAACTTGAGGCTCTTTATTCTCAGAAAACTTAGACTCTAGTTCCTTTACCATATTAGAAGAATTTAGTGGGTTGTAAGTGGATTTTCAAGATTAAATGGAATGCTGATGGGACAATTGCAAGGCACAAGGCTAGGTTAGTAGCAAAGGGGTTTAGTCAGGAGCAAGGACTTGATTATGAAGAGAAATTCAGCCCTATAGTAAAACTAACAACGGTGAGGTTAATTCTGGCACTTGCAGCACAGTTTAATTGGCCATTGAGGCAGCTGGATGTCAAGAATGCATTCTTACATTGCATACTACATGAAGAGGTGTACATGTCCTAACCACCAAGTTTTGCAAATGATTGATTTCCTTCATTGGTATGCAAGTTACAAAAATCACTTTATGGTTTAAAACAAGCTCCCAGAGCTTGGAATGACAGGTTTATGCAGCAACACATATTCTAATAGTTCTCTATTTGTGAAGCATGTTGGAAGTACATGTTGTTGTGTTGTTACTGTATGTTGATGATATTATCATCACTGAGAGTGATACAGATGCAATTTAACAAGTAATTTAAGACTTGAGAATAGAATTTGACATTAAGGATCTTGGTCCATTACATTTTTTCTTGGGAATTCAAATTGCAAGAACAAATGATGGAATGTTCTTATCTCAAGAAAAATATATACAAGACCTTTTAAAGAATGCAGAAATGTTAGACTCTAAACATGCTTCAACACCTTGTCTTCCTTACAATCAACTTTTTAAGGATGACGGGCAACCTTACAATAATCTTGGCTTATACAGGAGCATTGTTGGAGCTTTGTAGTACCTTGTGTTTACAAGACTTTACATTGCCTTTTCTGTTCATCAAGTTTGCCAATTTATGCAAACTCCAATGGTCTCTCATTTTATAGCAGTGAAGAAGGTTTTACGATATCTCAAAGGCTCGATTTCTCATGGAATTACTTACAACAGAGGAGAATTGGTTTTAAAGTCTTTCAGTGATGCTGACTAGGCAAGTGGTCCAAATGATCGAAGGTCCACTACTGGTTTGGTTGTATTCCTAGGAAATAATCCAATTTCTTGGTCCTCTAAGAAACAACAAACTGTGTCACGTTCTTCAACGGAGGCTGAATATAGAGCCCTTTCATCTACTGCTATAGAATTGGATTGGATCCAACAGTTGCTCACTTTCCTACATATTCCGCCTCAACATATTCCAGTACTCTTTTGTGATAATCTATCAGCAATTGCCTTATCTTTCAATCCAATTCAGCACCAACGAACTAAACACATTAAAGTGGATGTTCATTTTGTTCGAGAAAGAGTTGCTGCTAAGAAATTGCTTGTTCAGTTTGTCTCCTCTTCTGAGCAATTTGCTGATATCCTAACAAAAGGCTTGAGTTCTCCTTTGTTTAACACTCATTGCTGCAATCTCATGCTTGGCTCATCCAAACATGGGATTGAAGGGGGGATGTTAGAGTATAAATAATGAATGAAGAGGATTATGCCATTTGTCATTATAATGAAGTGTATAAGATAAGATTGTAATAAAGTATATAAGGCTATTAGGCTAAGATCTTACAATATATAATGTAAGATCGTGTACTGTTGTAATTACAGAAAATTTAATACAAGATTCAGTAGCTTATTTTCCAAGCTTTCTCTCTCTCTCTTCTCTCTCAACTCTTCTCTGTATCTCTCAATTCTTCTCTGCATATATCTCAATTGAAGCTCTGCAATATGATTAACAGCTACATGAGGGTGAGGAGTGGCAGCCGCCCCTCCCTTCGCTGAAAAACATGCCTAGGAGCACTAGTTCAGCCTCTCCACTCTCGTCGAAAATGAGAAGTCCTATCCTACTTCAACCATCATTAACCCCACCCTGTTGCCTCATCGGCTTTAGCATCATGTGCAAGCTTCAAGCTCACTCGATAAGCCGACATCACATTCCGAACTGAGAAACCCCAATTTGAAGTCCTTCTTGATTTCATCAGGGCAATCTCGCAGGGGGTGGCAGATGATGGTGACTTGGGATAATGGGATGGAAGACTAGTATATGGGTGGGATAACGGTGTTGACGGAGGAAAGGGGTTGGAGAAGGAGACGGTGGTGGAGTCGACGGAAGAGAGAAGTTAGAGGAAGACACGGGGTTCGATCAATGGTGGAGAACATGCGGGGGTTTGACGGAGGAGGAAACAGGGTTGGTTAACGGAGATGATTGCTGGTTTGAATCTAGAAGCTTGGGGAATCTCCAATTAGAGAGAAGAATGATGTTTGGTTAGTATAATAGGGTATGTTTGGATATTAAAATAGATAATGCAAGGTTATGTGTTTGGGAATTTACAAGGGTAGGTGTATTGTGCCACATAATAAGTTCAATATACTAGATCCTGACAGGTCAGGATTTAAGTATTATCCCTCTTTTCTTTCTCTTCTAACCCCACCTTTTTTTGTGGTTTGTTAACCCATTTCTCTCTTCTTTTTTTTTTTTAGTTTATTATTCTTGTATGTATTTTTTTTGCCTCTTTTTAAAACCCCCCGCATATTTATCTTAAACTCTCACATTATATATCAATATTGTATTAATTTTTAAAAAATAAAGTAAATATTGTTTAATGCTTATTTTACGATAAAAGAAATTCATTTAAATCCATCTAGGCTCCTACCTAAATCTCGCCTAGGCGCCTAGCTGCTAGGCCCTAGTCCTCTGCCTGACTAGCGCCTAACGTTTTTAAGAATCTAATTCTAACCTTGTTTATACCATATTTAGGGCCTCGTATTTAGATCTCGTACAAATACTCAGGGGACTTAAATGTAATTATGTGATAAAGAAAGGGGCAAATATGTAATAAGTGAGGAGTCCTTATTCTATAAAAGGACCCCTCACCCTCACAATTAGAGAAGTCCAATTCCTAGGCCATCAGAGACTTCACTCTCTCCCTCAGAGGCTATGAATCTCTTTCCCTCACTCCCCTCACATCTCAGATAAATACATAATCAGTGTGGACGTAGCCCAAACCTTGGGGTGAACCACGATACATCTTGTGTTATTTACATTTCTTGCAGATTCACGGTTGGATTTACGTTGTTCCAATACCTCCGGTTTTGTGCATCAACATTTGGCGCCGTCTGTGGGAATCAATACGAAAAGTTGTGTCAGTTCTCTTTCATTTTTTCATCTCCACCTTGAAACTGCAAAAACCCAAGAACCCAAAAATTTCCCAGAAAACCCACGGAGCCACCTCCTCTATGACTCAATCTCTCTCTGTAACTGCACAGACCACGTGTCTGGCCTCCCTCTCTCTTCTTCTTCTTCGTTTTCTCTCTCTGCCAAAGCTCGAAAGTTTCAATGATTGGGGAAGCCAGGTTCACGATCAGAATCGTCGACCAAAGCCGACCGTAAGTTCGAAAAGAAGCTCGAATTTTATGCTAAGGTTAGAGATGCAGTTTTTTCCTTAGGTGCACAGAAGGCTATTGTTAAGAGCAATTGTTCCTAACAGTCATAACTATAAAGACAATGGTAACAATAACAGCAATAACTCCAGAAGAAAATTTCAATGGCGTCGAAGATATCTCTGAAAACCAAGGGTAAGACTCCGGCGAAGGGCTCCAAAGGCTCGGATGAGCGCTCGGTGGCTCAGTCCGTGAAGGAGTGGAGCACGTGGACCATGAAGAAGGCCAAGGTCGTCACCCACTACGGCTTCATTCCTCTGGTCATCATCATCGGCATGAACTCGGATCCCAAGCCGCAACTTTCCCAGCTGCCCAAGCCACAAAACTTCAATTTCTTTGCCCAAATCTCTTATCAAATTTTTGGGTTCAATACTTTCATCTGTTTTCTTTGGATTTCCTGCTTCGATTTCGATTCAGAATGACTATCCTCATTGAGCAGCTTGAGTTTGGAGTTGAAGTTGAAATTGAAGCATGGGAGAGAAATGTGTTAAATGATGAAAAGATGTCTTCTTGTTCAAGATGTGGCAGAAGAGAGAGGGAGAGAGAGAGAGATTCATCAATCAATCCCACTGAGTCTGTCTTATCAATTTCAACCCTCATGCTTGCTTATAGCTTTCAAGATCATAATCTCAACTGGGTATGCCGTCAATTTTGAACTTGGAGCAGGGTGGGTTTCTTGACTAAGACAACAAGTTCAGAGCTGAGTTGTGGAAGCTATAGGCGCTGTTGCTGCTGCTGCAGAGTGATTGTTGTTATACAAATCGGTAATTTCGTGTTTCAGAACTTGTTCCTTCAACTTGAGGCCTTCGAGGAACCTCAAGTCTGTCGGTGGTGAGATCAGACTGCGATGAAAAATGCCCAACAGAAGCACATGGGGGACAACAGAAAAGCAAAAAACGAAAAGAAAAAAAAAGAAAAAGAAAAAAGAAGAGTGATGGGCACGACCAGGCTGTCCAAGAAAAGCAAGGGGAGTTAGCCCTCCAGTTTCGCCAAGAGACAGAGACAGAGATGCAGTGGAAAGCAAAAGGAAAAGAGAAAAAGAGAAAGAAATGTAGTGGGAAAAGCAAAAGAAAAGCATAAAAGCAAAAGCAAGGAATAAACACCCCACGAGAATGATGTGGTTTACTTCCTTTATTTTTGAATGATGTAATTTAATTTTCGTATCTTTCGGAGACATCTGTATAAACCCCATCAGTGGGTAATAATAATAAAAAATTAAAAAAATTAAAAAACGGCAAAGCCCAAAATAAATGGGCTGGAATGTTATATGAAGGGCGAAGGCCCATGAGCCCAAATAGCTCCAACTAAGCGATCAAAAGTACGCCCAGTACTCCACAATTATTCGACAACCTGCCACTATTACCACCAACCAGGTGATCAAAACGCCCAGTACTCCATAATTATTCGGCAACCTGCCGCTATTACCACCAACCAGGTGATCAAAAGTACGCCCAGTACTCCACAATTATTCGGCAACCTGCCGCTATTACCACCAATCAGGTGATCAAAAGTACGCCCAGTACTCCAAAAATTATTTGGCAACCTGCCACTATTACCACCAACCAGGTGATCAAAAGTACGCCCAGTACTTCATATTATACATGAGCATTACTCATGTCAATCATACATAAACATTCATGAGCATCACTCATATCAATCATACATAAACATTCATGAGCATCACTCATGTCAACATCCATGAGCATCACTCATGTCAATCAAACATTCATAAGCATCACTCATGTCAATCAAACATTCATGAGCATCACTCATGTCAATCAGCTTCAAAAGCTTCATTTACAAAAGCTCTAGCTTCGAAAGCTTCATTTACAGAGCTACAACTTCAAAAGCTTCATTTACAAAAGCTCTAGCTTCAAAAGCTTCATTTACAGAGCTCCAGCTTCAAAGCTTCACTTACAAAGCTTCAGTGCAGGGTATACAAATACTGCCTCCGAACAACCGCCACTTCGGCCCATACATGGATTCAATTTGAAGTCTCCAGCCAACAAACTCCATTGACCGAAGACTTTAGGGACTACATTATGTACCATATATTGGGCCTCAACTGGGCCTCATGAAAAATACTTGGGGGACTCTAGCCCATCATTCATATATTAAGGAGCGAGCCCTTATTCTATAAAAGGGACTCCCTCACCATCATTAGAGAGCATCAACTCTAACCCATCATTTATGTATTGAGGAGCGAGCCTTTATTCTATAAAAGGGACTCCCTCACCTTCGTTAGAGAGCATCGCCGCTAGCTGAGCAACCGCATCGCCACGAGCATCACTCCTAACCCATTATTCATGTACTGAGGAGCGAGCCCTTATTTTATAAAAAGGACTCCCTCACCATCATTAGAGAGCATCAACTCTAGCCCATCATTTATGTATTGAGGAGCGAGCCCTTATTCTATAAAAGGGACTCCCTCACCTTCGTTAGAGAGCATCACCGCCAGCTGAGCAACCGTCTCGCCACAAGCATCACTCATAACCCATTATTCATGTACTGAGGAGCGATCCTTTATTTTATAAAATGGACTCCCTCACCATCATTAGAGAGCATCAACTCTAGCCCATCATTCATGTATTGAGGAGCAAGCCCTTATTCTATAAAAATGACTCCCTCACCTTCAACGCCATAAGCCGAGCCAACCAAGGCAACATAACCCACGAGCCGAGCAGCCTCGCAGCATGTGTTACTTCTAGTTGAGCATCATTTCAGATTGAGCACCGCCTCATATCGAACATCAGTTCAAGACAACACCTAGTTACTTCGGCCCACACATGGATTTCAAGTCTCCAGCCAAAAGACTGTCTTGACTAAAAACTTAGGGGACTACTGTTTATACCATATTTAGGACCTCGTATTTAGATCTCGTACAAATACTCGGGGGACTTAAATGTAATTATGTGATAAAGGAATGGGCAAATATGTAATAAGTGAGGATTCCTTATTCTATAAAATGACCCATCACCCTCACAACTAGAGAAGGCCAATTCCTAGGCCATCAAAGACCTTACTCTCTCCCTCAGAGGCTCTGAATCTCTCTCCCTCACTTTCCTCACATCTCAGATAAATACATAATCAGTGTGGACGTAGCCCAAACCTTGGGGTGAACCACAATACATCTTGTGTTATTTACATTTCTTGCAGATTCACGGTCGGATTTACGTTGTTCTAAGACCTCCGGTTTTGTGCATCAACAAACTTATTTAATATTCGTACATGGCTTTGATATTACCGCTTACAACCGCTTTGGTGAAGAGACTGTTTTCTGTTATGAATATTGACTCAAAACTTTGCACTCTCCAATGTTAAAGTAACCGCTTCGATTGAATCTTGTACTCTTTTGAATTTCACCCCTCCATTTGGAAAATCTTGGCTTCGCCACTGGGTGGAACCCCAATTTTCTTCATGGTATCAGAGCAAGTTGTCCCACGTATGAAGCGAAACAACCATATGTGCTCCACGTCATCCCGTTGTGTTGTCCACATGTTAGGTTCAAAAATTCGCCACACGTGAAGGGGCATGTTGAGAATGAGTCCCACATTGATGGAATGAGAGACATTGCATGGGCTTATAAGAGATTGGGCTACTCCCCATATTGCCAATTGGTTTTATGCTGAAACCCCAAATTTCTTCATGGTATCAAAAACAGGTTGTCCCATGTGTGAAGTCAAACGACCACATGTGCTCCACGTCATCCCGTTGTATTGTCCACTTATTAGGCTTGAAAATTCGCCACACGTGAAAGGGTGTGTTGAGAATGAGTCTCACATTGATGGGAGGATGGACCTTGCATAGGCTTATAAGAAGTTGGACTACTCCCCATATTGCTAATTGGTTATATGGTGGAATCCTAAATTTCTTCAATTTTACTCTTCGTTTTTTTTCTTCTTTTGCGTCGGGAAATAATTTGTCATGTACATATAGGGCTGGTTTGGTATGGGATACCGAACTGAAACCCTTGTCCCGATTCCCAAACTGAAATTTTCGGGAATCCCAATTTCAAGACCGATCCCAAACCAAATTTTTGGGAATCCTGAAATATTTTCCAGATTTCAGGACAATTCAGGATTTCCGAAATATTATTAGGCTTTTGGGACAATACGGGATTGCCTAAGTATTAACAGTTCATCAGTTCAATATCTTCATCAGTTCATCATCTTCATATATAAAAGAAACATTAAGAAATTATGTGGGTATTTGAAAGTTCATCAGTTCAACATCTTCATATATAAAAGATCCACTAAACAAACTGCAAATACATTTATGGTGCTGCATTACAAACATCTCGAAACCCTAATCTCGAATTCCAACCACCAATTCAACCCCTAAACCCTCAGTATTCAGTATACTCAATCTTCCAAGTGCTAAATTTCACAAACCCTAATCTTGAATTCCAACCCTAAATTAATTCAAACATTTACCTGATTTGGGGGAGATTTGCACTGGAGACTTGAATTAAGAGAGACTGAGAATGATAGCGGCACTGGCCATGATTCGTGAAGGAAGGCTCATCCAATGTGGCTCTGTGAGGGATGAGAAGTTGAGAGAGACTGAAAGAGCGATCAGAGAGGTGGTGATTGTCTAGAGAGATGTGACTCAAGTGAGTCTAGGGGTAGGTGCGGTTTGGTTTGGTGCAGTTTTAAGTGAAACCAAAACCAAAACAGTAAGTTTTTGCGGTTTGGTTCGGTGTGGTTTTGAGGCTAAAACCGAAATGAAACCAAACCATTTGGTTTGGTTCAGTTTGGTTTTAAACGGTTTTGGTGCGGTTTCATTGTTTGAAAAAGCTATTATGGTTACCTAGTTGTATCTCATTTCATTTTCCTTTTATATACACTTCAATTTTCTTCTATGAGCAACATTTACTATTTGTTTTTCATTTTGCATGTCTTCTAGTACCTTGTTGGTCTAAGGCATGAAGTAGTTGAATCCAGGAGACTGGGCTATCCCGGCCCTTGAGAAAGAAATAGATGGCTCTTCTGCAGCTTGTCTGATGATAGTGTCAAGGGAATCATTTTCCTCTTCTAATTTCATAGCGTACAGAGAGTTTGAGGTCGTACGTTTAGCAATTGACATCTATACACACACAACAAATCCACCAGAGCACCGGGTGTCTCTATACAAAATATAGGACAAATAAAAACAAGGTAAACATCTAATGACTAAGTGACATTCAATTGAACTGGATTGAGGCATGAATATGGTTGAGTCCATACTAAATGTATGGACTCAATGAAATGACCAATTAGAATTTAATATTTAATAAATTTATGCGGCTTCGGTTTCAGTTCGGTTTCAAATGGCCGAAACCGAAATCAAATTGTTTTTCCACATTCAGTTTGGTTTCAAATCGAAACCATTTTGAAACCTCAAAACCAAACCATTCGGTGCGGTTCGATTTGGTTCGTGTTTCGATTTCAGTTTCGGGTTCAAGTGCCCACCCCTAGGTGAGTCACTTGTGTGGTCGGATTCAAAAACGAAGAGACAACCTTAAATTAATTCAAACATTTACCTGATTTGGAGGAGATTTGCACAATGCACTGGATGACTTGAATCGAGAGAGACTGAAAGACTGAGAGATTGAGAAGGAGAGCGGTGCCAATGGCCGTGATTCGACGACGAGGGTGGTGAGGTGAGGGTTTGAGTCTGACGAGTGAGGCAAGCGGTGAAAGTGACAGAGAGTGGGTGCAGTGTGAGGTGAGTGTCGAGAGAGACGAAGACATAGTGTAATGTACTAGGGTTTGATAGATTCAATAGTTGAGATTAAATCTCAACCGAATCCGACGGCTGTTATAATTCTAAATATATATTTAAAAATTAAATATTTTTTTTTTATTTCGGTTCGGTTTGGGAATATCAAAAAAACTAAAACTTGAAACCGATTCCCGTACCGAAATTTTCAGTTGGTTTGGTATTGGGTACCGAACATTTTGTGATTTTTGGTTTGGTATTTTTTTCGGTTTGGTTTCGAGAATTTTTCGGTTTGATTTGGGATATTTGGTATTTTTTTTCCACCCCTACATACATCATTAGTATGGGAACTGAGTCTTGAAACGAGATTAAAGTTTATCCCTGGAGGGGGCCTGGGGGAGGGGTGGGGGGAAATTAATTAAAAGAAGACTAATGAGATTAAATCAAATATTTAAGTAGAATATATAGATGCCTTGTTAAAGATGGTCAGAGTCATTATCACATACAACGACAACTAACTGATATCGGTGACATGCAATAAAGGTGAAAGAGCTCAAAACAACTCAATACTCATCCCTTATTCTTAAGGTAGACTAGCTACCTACTACTATCATATTCTATTATCTAGCTAGATGCTCATCCAGATCGACCTGATCTTCACTTCACACTGCAAATAACGAAAAAATTACTTTTAGTAACCAAAACAAGGGGATAAAAAACAGATTTATATTTAAAGGCTTAGTGTATTACAAAATAAAATATGCTAGGATTATCAAATTTGTGCGCTTGTTTTAAATAGCGAAAAGTAATTAGCACATCATTTGATGGAAAAATTTACCTGGCGCAGTTAGTAGAGGTGCTGATCTTGTAGGGAATGTTGGCGCCACATAAGGAAGGGAGTTTAGCCGCGTTGGCTTGTTTAATAGTTTTGATTTGGGCAGCAACTGTTTTCAAGCAGTTGCAAGCATTCTGTCGATCAGCTGTGGTGGCTGAGCTGACCAGGCCTTTGATGCCCCTGCAGCAGCCTGGAGTGGGGGAGCCACCATTCTGGAGGTAGGCCAGGCAAGGCGCAAGACCGACTTTAATCTGGCCACATGTGAGTGCTGCTCCAGTGATCAAGGGTGCGGCCAGCACTATGCACATTAAGAAAACACAAACCACCTTAGGGCTAGCCATAGCTTTTGCGTACAAAAGTCAAAGGATGGTTTAATAATTTGGTGGTGCTTTTACTAGATGCTGAGTGAGTCGGTGAGATGTGGAGTTTATATAGGGGGAAATAGGAGTGGGACGTTGTAATTTTCTGTGTACAAAATTAATACTTGTTTGAATGGCCTGAACGCATGCAGAAAGATAACCGAGACTCGATGTGAATGATGCATGCATGCAGTGGAAACGACAAGCAGAGCCCGTTGAAAGATGTGTTGTTTAATGGTTATAAATTGATGAACACCCAATCTTCATGCAACACAGAAAAAAAGAGAAAAACAGACAAGGGAATATTGTTTGTCATATTTATTTTAGTGTAATGTTAAAGAGACTAGATTTGTAGATAAAATTTGTAAACTAAATGACATGAAAGTTAATGGTTGGATTATTACTTAAGCGTTGACAAACATGCTTATTTCTTATTAGTGACACATCATTTAATTTGTAAATTTTTTCTATAAATTTAATATTTCTAACATTACTCTTTATTTTAATTGTCCATTGTTTTTTCTTGTTTCACCTAATTAATAAGGTTTTTTCTACTGAGACTCTCTCAAAGTTGGCCTCTCTAGACTTTTCGTCACCTCATGTTTTTTAAATAATATTTCATAATGTTGGCATGAGAATTGTGCTAAAAACATAAGGTTATAAAAAATCTTACTTTTGAAAGAGTCTCTCTAGCATTTCTCTTCGGCTTATTAGGAATTTTCAATGTGACACATAGATTAGTGTTAAATTGTTATTAATAGGATAATACTTGTCTTCATATGTGAAAGAACACACATCTCACTTGTTGTAAATAAGGTATATTCATTATATAAATTTTAGAACCGGAATTATTCAAGTTTTTAATCTTTATTTGAATGCAATTATATATTATCCATATTAATATGTGTTATATACAGTACGGATGGACGATATCATTGAGATGTCATAATCATGATATATTGTATTAATACAGGTATATACAACATATAGCGATGTAACTATCAAGCACAATAACTCCTCCAATAATTTTATAATTCAATTCAAAACAACTAACAACTAGAATCGACGTTTACGTGTACGTTGTTAATCAACCTGTTTCCCATCAGGATTAGTAGGATTATACTCAAGCTAAAGAGTCAACAATCGGTACCTATACTTAATGTACTTTATGAAAGAAGTTCAATACAAAAGCACTTCTAAATATTTAACAATATAAACGTTTTTATCAAAGCTCGTCTCCTCTTTTTTAGTGTTGAGAATATCGATTACTAAAGAAAAATTCTAGAGTACTCTTGGTCATTAAAAATTCATTTTCCAAATAAGTGTACAAAGTATGAAATTGAATAGTGATATATTGCAAATTTACCATGCATGATTTTGGTTTTAAAAAAAAAGTAATGTTCACACTATTTTTAGTTTTTAACATATTTTTTTAGTTATCAAATTGAATTACTTAACAAAAAAAAAATAACAGAGATGATTAATCACATATGTTGTAAAATTAAAAGAAAATAATTTTTACACAACTTTTTTAGTTTCTCCAGAAGAATATGTGTTTACCATTTTTCGAACTAAATAGAAAAGTTCGAAAAGTCATCGATCTCACCATTACCAATATATATCAATCTTGTTTAATGTGGTATGGGTCAGTGTGCCACACCCGTTGGTATGTGAGCCGACCACATTGACATTGTGCCATACCTTGCCATGCACCGAAAGGCAAGAATGGGTCCATACTGTCAACATGAATTATTCATATTAACCTTCATGCACTCGTTCACGCGTGTGTAAAAGATAATTTTTAATTTATAACATATTACACGTGATTTACACGTTTTAAATGTATTTATATGCATAAATTGACAATAAAAAATCAAATATTTGAAGTAAATGAATAATGTTAGATCATGCTAGAATAAACCCCTCATAAACCAATTCAAGCAGCTGAATTTACATACTAAAATCGATCTCTATAGAATTTACAATAAGAATAGACAAAATTGACACACCCCATCCCGAAGGAGGGCATGCTGGCCGTCACGTGAGAATGACGTAACCATTTGCACAGTACGGAAGCTTTAATTATACAACTTCAAAGTTAATACACCCGAAGGTGCGTCCTAATTTGGTACATTCTGTCAGAACCCCGCTGAATTCCTCGTAGTCACCACACCTTTATGATTCCTGAACCTGGAGGGGCGCAAAACCAAAATTGAGTGGGTCAGTAAAACAATTCTTTTCCAAATCCAAACATTTCTCAAAACGTTGTAACCCCTCTCCGTAAAACTTGTATACTTTCCCATAAATGTAAAATATAAATATACATATACATATATATTCTCAAAACTTCATTTTTACTATCTCAACATTTTTCTTTATCAAATCATGTCATGCCATGTCTAATTCAACAGTTAAGTATGGATGCATCAACAATAATCATATCAGGTGCAAGAAAATAATCAACCGGAGACCCTACAATGGTCCTGTACAGCTGAATGTAGAGCTCAAAATCTCATCTAACCGGAGTCACAAACTGTGACCTGTACGGCCATGCCGGAGTCACCTAGTATGACCTGTACGGCACTACACTGCACATAAGTCGGAATTACCTAATGTAATCTGTACGACTTAATGGTGTAATAAAATGCTCTAGTGCTTTTCTCATCAATCATCTGTGCACATAATCTAAGGTCACCTACCAGTCGGAACCCCTCTAATGGTCTGTACGACTGGCATGTCGGAACCACCCCCGGTGGTCTGTACGACTAGCATCTACTTGGATCCAAGGTGAGCATGCGATGCGGTGAATAATAATAAGCACTAATACCAAGGTGCAGGTTATGAGCTCAACATATCTCAACATCATCATAACAGTAATAATACTCACCTGATACTCACATGTGCGTCCACAGCACCATTTCATATATATGCATCATATCTCAATTCATACTTTTCATATAATTTCATGCATGGCAATTCGATTCACATTTCTATATACTTTTCATATACTTTTATGCATGGCATCTCAATTCACATTTCAATATACTTTTCATATAATTTTATACATTGCATTTAAAGCATACTTTCATTAAATTTCAATTTCTGGGAAAACGTCAAGTATATATATATACGGAAAACAAAACTGCCCACTCACCTGGAGTTCGTCCAACAACTCCCTAACACCACACATCAAGGCGTCATGACGATCGCCGCCTAGAACAGTAATCAAATCCAGCCTCAGAATTCATATCGATAGAATATATAACTTATATAAAATACGTCACTACGTAGTTCGATCCGGAAGATCCACCACTCAGATTTTAAATCCATAACTTCCAGAGGTCCACAATATACCTCTAGGACAACTTCCTAAAATTTCATCACCATCCAACGGTCGGATCTCCGTCAATTAACAAAACTAAGTGACGGTTAACATTTTATTTTATGAACTTACAATTCCAATTCCGGAAGATCCGTAACTCGGATTCCCAATCCGTAAGTTCAAATAATCCTCAAATATTACGTATTACAACGTATCAAAGTTTGGTAACGATCCAACGGTCGGATCGTCAATTCATATTTTCACCTAAATGCAAAAACTATAAAACGTTATTTGAACACCTAACCAACAATCCTTAATAACTTTCTCATACGGTGCTCAATTTGGGTATATGAATATACCACAGTGATCTACTCGACGTCACGGACGTCGACATATTTTTAAAATAATTGTTTACTGTAGCACGCGCCCCCACGCGCCAAGGAAGGCACGGACCTACGCGCCCCCACGCGCACCTTCTTCTTCCTTGGGTCGCCGGACTGGTTTTTCCGGCGGCCGTTTTTCAAATTGCCATAACTTTGTCATTTCTCAACGAAATTAAGTGATTCAAAAACGAAAGTTGTAGCCCTTAAAGAGACAAAGAGAATGGTACCTTGCACAACACCTAGTTCGCCGTGGTTTGGCCGGAAACTGCTTCGAAAGCCTCGGAGGTTGCCGGAAACTGGGTATTTTTCAAATGAGTATAACTTCTTCAATACTCAACGAAATTGAGTGAAACAAAAAGGAAAGTTGTAGTACTTGACGAGACGAAGAGATTAATACCTACCTCGACTCCTAACTCGCCGGGGATTTTCCGGAAAAAGCCTCGAAAGCTCCGGCCAAACTTTGAACTTGTCGATCTCCGTGTTCTTACGTCCAAAAACTTCCAACGAAGCACTCCGAGCTTCCTTGGGACCTCACTAAGCTCGCTGTGATCTTGTTTTAGCCTAAATCGTAACCATTTAAAAGATCATGAACAGTACATAAACACGGGACCTTAAAAACTAGGGTTTTCCGAAGCAAAACTTACCTGAAAATGGTGTCTACGTGATCGTGGAGGTTCCAGGAGTTCGATGGTGGTCTTAACTCCGTCGTTGGTAGAAGTTTAGGGTGGTTTTGGAGCTTGTCCGTGTGAGTTCGAAGGAGAGGGAGAGAGAACTGAGAGTTTCGTGAGGGAGGAGAGAGAGAGACAGGGTACGGGAAAGAGGGAGAGAATTGAGGGGTGTGGGATCCTACCCAATCCCCAACTACGAAATTCTAACATAAAATTTAAGTCTAAGTCTCCACTCTACTTACCAAATTTTAGGAGCTTAGATATAACGAACGTAAAAATTATACCTTAGTCACGTATTGAGGCATTTTCGTAATTTCATGTCTTCTGAATTAAAAATTCCGGGACGGGCTGTGACAAAAATGATATTTAATGAACAATTGATTAAATCACATTATTACTAACTCATTGTGAGGCTATGTCCACTCATTCCCTCTTAGTATAGATAATATCTTTTGTTATTAAAAAAAAAAACAATCATTTGACAATTAATTTAAACACATTATTATCCACGGGCGAAATACATTTTTTATAACCAACATTACATGTTTCTTAAGATGTTTTGAACATGTTTAAAAATAGAGAAAATAAAATTGAATGAACAACTGATTGAATCACGTTCTTACTAGCCCATTTTGAGGCTAAGCTCACCCCCCCCCCCACTCCCCGTTAGTGTAGATAATATCATTAG